GTTGACAGCGCTTTACCAACGGAGAGAGAGAGAGGGGGGGGGGGACCCTAAAAAACATGTATAGTTTGTCTAAAGCAGGCATAGACTCAGCCAGCGTAGTCATCCCTTCATAGTAAAAAGTGGCATTTTGTGTCTGCTGGTTTGTTTACTTGCGGGAGTTCATTGGCATTTTTCCACATGTGAATTCTGACTAATCGAAAAGCAGTTTAGGAAATATGTTCAACTACATCTGGCCAATGAGAGATGTGGATTTTGTCAGATGACTGCATTTCAATTCTTTTTAACTGGTTCGGACTAAAGCCAACAATGTGGTAAGAAAACAACCCAAAGATGGCAGAAAATGCAACAATGTATCATTTATTGCCCTTGGTCCGGACCAAATGAAGCGAACTACAGATAAAGCACCCTAAATCTCTACTATTCTGTTGTGGGGGTAATTGTGTCAGTCCTGAAATCACAAAGCACTTTTTAAAATCAATATTTAACTTTACTGTGAAAGTATGTTCTAACGTTCCTGCTGGAAAAACAGCTTAAAACAGTGTAAGTTTTGTTAACTGGTTTAAGCTGTTTTTTCACAAGTGGTTTTACTTTATTTTTGACAGTACAGTAGATATTTTAGGCTAAATATACTAGACTACCTCCAATTAAACATTGACAAAAAACTTTCATCTACACATAAAGATGTAATTAAAAGCCAAAACTTTTATAAACACTACTTTAGCCTAACGCTAGCGTTACCTATGCTAAGGTGCTAACCATCTGTATAAAATAAATATTTGACAGAAATATGTTAATTACCAGTAAGAAAAGAGTTGGGAACATTTGTATGTAATATTTCAGTGCTTTTAGGGACTAATCTTACCGGAAATTGGTGAAAACAGCCACATGACCAGTTCTGTTGACAGCCAGATTGAGTGCTGTTTCTTAGGGTACACTGTTAAAAATTGTCCTGTTAAAAAACAGTAAAATACTGGCAGCTGCAGTTGCCAGCAATGTACTGTTATTTTACAGTATGTTGCTGTAAAAATACATGGACTACATTGATTTACACAATACTCAAGTGAACTCATTTTGCTCACTGAAAGCAACTGCCTCAACTTGGTCAACTGCTGAATGAGTTTATGAAGTAATGTGCTATATATGCTTAGAAGCATACTTATGATGATTACTTATTTTAGTTAATTAGAAAATTTTTCACAACAGCACACATACATGTAAATCTGGAATCACCAGAGAGATTCTGACTGCATCAGCAACTAAACAGCCGCTGTCTTTAAATAGAGAAACATGCAGAATAACATCAGCAGTTCATTGTTCATCTTTAACTCATACACTGGCTCTACTCCCCTCCACAACGGTGACAGACAGAAGAAATTAGCTTCAGGTTTAACAGTAAAATACTGTTTTTTTCTTGATTTAACGGTAATCTACTGGCAGCTGTGGTTGCCAGCAATCTACTGTTTTTTTACAGTCTATTTCCGTAGTTTAAATTAACAGTATATTACTTTTAAAATACATTTTTACACTGTTTTTACCTCTCACACCTTTAACCCTTTAAACCCCAGAGCATATACTTCAGTTTTTATTGAAGTGTCCACACTACTGAGTGTTCAAGAAACATGTAGCAAAGCTGAAGTAAATTCATTAATTAACTGACTAATTAAATGATAATTGAGGATTAACAATGAACAAATGAAGAAATAGTGAAGGGAAAAAACAAGAACAGAACATACACTGTAAAAAATTGCTGTTAAAAAACGGTCAGATTCTACGGTAAAATAATGTTTTTTCACTAAAACAGTAATATTCTGTTAAAAACAGTGCTTTCTGGGTAACATTTTTGTTTTCGAGAAAGTAACCAACTGCAGAAAACTGTGAGCTAACAGAGTTCAGATTCGATGTTTTGAAGTCTGTGTTTGAAATCACACTTTGTGCCCTTGTTCACTATTTCATACACTAGTTAACTAATATAGTTCACCTGACAGTTTTAATGAACACTAATGAGTGAATTCAGACACTGATGAACACCTGCTGTTAATAATTACAATTACTGAAGAAAATAAACAAGAAACACAAACAGTGACTTGAGTTACAACATTAAATAAAATCAAATCAAATAAAACAGCTTCAGTCTCAGCAGAGGATCATTAAACAACTCCACAAACAACAGCAGACACACTTATTACTGACTGATTTGACTTCCATACTATTCTCATTGAGATCCAACAGAAATTAAGGTGTTTTTTGTGTCACCGTAATGGAGTGAGGGGCTGGTTTAGTTGGGCTCTTCACCCTTGAAGATATTAATACAGACTCTCCAATTACTATAATGAGTTAACAAAATGCTTGTATTATAGCAATCAAGTTGGAAAGTCAATAATTAGAGAAATCTATTAGTTTGAAATTAGTTCTGATAAATGTTTTGTTATATATCTAGAAGAAGGGCCTCATGCAATAAATTTTTCGATTAGATGCAGGTATTAATTTAATTAATGAGAAGTGGAAACAGAAAAGATACTTCCATAATTACTTAACAGTTAAGAAATAACATACAAAAACAGTTCAGTTATGACAAATACACACTCAGACCTCATGAATCTGACCTTGTATCTCAACAATGGTAACATCTCTAATGTTTTTTTGTAATTGTTAAGAACTTTGTTTAAAAAACTCCTTTGTTGAGGCAAGCCAGCCAAAAACCTAAATAAGATCTGGGGATGTTCATGTTGCTATTAAATGGCAGAGTCTGTTCTCATTTAGTATAATAAAATTTACTGCTCCTATTCAATGTTAAATTTATTGTTTTACATTATATGTATATATATGGCAATGATTTCTGAAAGTTTTTAAGAATATCTTGGACAATAACATTGCTCTACGGTGTATATCGCACTCAAAGAGACATCAATAATCAGCATATGAACCTCAATAATGGTGACAACTAACAAAATTAACAGTTTAACTCACAAACAGGCAACTGAAAGTCTAAACATAAACAACAGCAGAATCAAACACAAATAAAGAAAACTGTTAGACCATTATACAACATTTGTTTATACCGCAATGCATGCTGGGATATTTGTACCGTGCCACTCCCAGCATGCATTGCAGCATGAAACATTTGAGATGTTACCATTGTTGAGATACAAGGTCAGATTCATTATGTCTGAGTGTGTATTTGTCATAATTGAACTGTTTTTGTATGTTATTTCTTAACTGTTAAGTAATTACGGTGGTATCTTTTCTGTTTCCACTTCTCATTAATTAAAATAATACCTGCAACTAAGCATAAAATCTATTGAATGAGGCCTTTCTTCCAGATTTATAACAAAACATTTATCAGAACTCATTTCAGACAAATAGATTTCTCTGTTTATTGGCTTCCCAACTTTATTGCTATAGTACAAACGTTTTGTAAACTCTGTATTACAGCAGTTGGAAAATCTTCTTAAATGATTTCAAGGGTGAAGAGCCCAACTAAACCAGCCCCTCACTCCATTACGGTGACACAAAAAACACCTTAATTTCTGTTGGATCTCAATGAGAATTGTATGCAAGTCAATTCAGTCAGTAATAAGTGTGTGTCTGCTGTTGTTTGTGGAGTTGTTTAATGATCCTCTGCTGAGACTGAAGCTGTTTTATTTTATTTTATTTAATGTTGTAACTCAAGTCACTGTTTGTGTTTCTTGTTTATTTTCTTCAGTAATTGTAATTATTAACAGCAGGTGTTCATCAGTGTCTGAATTCACTCATTAGTGTTCATTAAAACTGTCAGGTGAACTATATTAGTTAACTAGTGTATGAAATAGTGAACAAGGACACAATGTGTGATTTCAAACACAGACTTCAAAACATCGAATCTGAACTCTGTTAGCTCACAGTTTTCTGCAGTTGGTTACTTTCTCGAAAACAAAAATGTTACCCAGAAAGCACTGTTTTTAACAGAATATTACTGTTTTAGTGAAAAAACATTATTTTACCGTAGAATCTGACCGTTTTTTAACAGCAATTTTTTACAGTGTGGTATTTATTTTATGTTCTTGTATGTGTGGTGCTGTTGTGTCTGTCTTCAAATATTTTAATCAGTGTTGCTACTACCTGTCAGTTGACTATCTGCTGAACATTTACAGAATAGTAACCATGCTGTCTGTGATGTTGGCTCCTTACAGTCATTCAACAGCATTTCTTAATTTTTCACTTCATTTTGATGGGCCTAGTGTGACAACAGATGAGCAGATAAATGTAACTTAAAGTAAACTAACTGTCTACTGAAAGTTGGGTTAAATGCAACAAATAGTTAGTTGAAAACTTTTGCAAATGCATGTATGAAATTTTTACCTAACCCTAACTTTATATTTGTTTAAAGTTCATTTTAAATTGTTGTGTTGCTTATAGGCATCTAAATGTTTACTGAAAGTCTATTGATAAACTGATTAATAACTACATGCAGACAACAAAAAAATCTTGATGGTAAATGTTCTGAAAACTTGTTTAAGATTTGTTGCATATCTACTAATACACTGTAATACACTACAACCTAATTTGGTAGCATGTAACTTATCAAAAGTTTAATAAAAGTTGAGGATTTGTTGCATATCTACTAATAATCTTTTGAACATCTGTTGAAGATTTGTTAAATATCTACTAATAGATTGTTGACCATCTAGAACTTATATTGGTAACACAACTTACCAAAAGTTTAATAAATGTTTACGTGTTGTAAAAATCGTAATGATTGCCTAGAAACATTTCAAAGACAATCTACAGATACTACCCAGATGAGAGTAAACAGATAAGAACTTGAAAAGTAACTTATGGTCAACAGACTATCTAAAGGGATCATCAAAATAAAGTTAAAATAAATCCTTACAGAACTGACAAACTGTATAAACAGTAAACTTTGTAACAGTTTTAGCATATATAGAGCTAAACTATCGGAAAATATACAGTCAGTGTTCTCAGTCATTTACCTTCTGTGTTCCAGTTTTTTGTCCTGCACAGCGGAGTGAAATATTGGTCTGGATTTCAGTGTCAGAGGTCACCTGTTTAGATGAACAACACAATATAAACACACGTAAATCCTTGCAGAATATGGTATTTTTTAAAGATTTAAGTTTATTTTGTCTTAATCATATATAACCAATAATTTTTAAGAAAACAACTTTAATCTCTGCATACCTTGTTCCTCCATGGCCATTCTGAAACATCATAGTTATAAGTGATCTCTTGTCCTGGACTGATGTCCTTTGTTGTGAATAAGCACAAATGGGGTTTTCTATCAACATTGATTATTTTCATTTTGCTGTTTGGGTTTATATGATTGTCATTAATAAGTCTACCCAACGAGCCATCTTCTCTTGCAGCATCAACCCTGAATCACAGAAAACAATGCCACCTCAAGTAATTACAGTATTTACTAAATTACACAGTAAGTAATTGCAGATCAAAAATTTTTTCAAGTTTTGGAAAAGACAAGTTCATTTATATATATATATATATATATATATATATATTTAAGGAAAATACAGAAACATAAATGTTAGCAAATTTAATAAAGCAATATACATACCATAACTGTCTTCCATTAAAAAGGATTTGAAACAAAAACACTTCAAGTGCATTATGATAAAGTCTGCGTCTTCTTTCACATTCTTTTTTGGTTATTATGTCTCCTCTATATTCAACTAGAAAATCTCCTTTTCTTTAGTGGCTAGAGCTAAATACTCCTCGACCTAGCAAATGATTTTTTAGATTAGTCATGAAAAAGAACAATTCTTGGAGATCCCTGACATAAACAGACTTTTTTTTTCCTACCGTTGAATAAGTTTATGTATTTTATTTCAAATCCAGTTTTATCTTTTGAAGTCGAAGCATAGTACACTGCTTCATCCTTTGATTTCAGTTTGAGTCTCTGGGACCTTGCTGTCACCATTTGTCAATGCACCAATGTCACTGTACATCAATGCATTTTTGTAATGTTTTTTTATCATATTTAGTTTATTTTTTTTAAAGGGTACACATGTTAAAGATAGTGCTTGGTCTGTAATATGCATGTCAGTACACATGTAAGTTACTTAAAATTATTTGTTTGCTTTTTCTTTGTCAGTGAAATGTCTAGATATGGCTAATACACACAGACTACATATTTAATAGGATGAAACATCTGTATACACGTTACCTTTACAGAAATATTCATATGTGCAAAATACAAATGTGAAATGTGTGCTTCTGGAACACTTTTGTGTGAATCCCATGTTAATTCAGGCCAAAACCACCAAAAGTGTTTTGGAACCACATTTCACATTTAGATTTACCATATGTGAATGTCTTGTGACCATTTTGTAAGTGTAAGCAACATTATTCATAAATAGAATTAAAATGAGGACTAAATAAAACGATTAAACTACTTCATCAGCACGTGATATGAAAAATACAGTTAACATACAGTTATGAAAACATATTCGTCTTGTATCTTGGGTGCAGTAAAAACTTCTAATAACAAGTTAGACCATAACGTGTAACTTATCATTACATAACGTTAGTGATATCAATCTGACAATAACGTTATGACTTGATTAGCAAATACTCATCTTACAAAATTAATAAGCACACTATAAACGATTACATGCAACGCATCTGTTACTTTGGTAAAGCATGACGACATTGCAAACATAAACGTAATGCTAAAACAATAAATCATTTTAAAAATGATAGTTCATCATTCTTGACAGGAAATGAAAAGTACGCTAACTTACAAGGTTTTATTAACGGTTACTTGGTTTACTCGCTGTTAAGTTTAGTCAAATAATGCACATTAATCGTGTAACGTTAGTACACTTATCTGGGTGGTTATTTAACAGTCTTAACTTAAGGGTCTTGAATCTGATGATTGACACCCATGTGTCATCGGATCTTCCAACATAAAATCGCTTGAGTTCTGTGGCTATAAATTTCCATAAATTAATTCACATTTAATCAATCGTATGCAATCAATCGTCGAATAAACAAGCTCCGTGCTTCTTTGTCCTGTCTTCAAACGATGAGTGATATCCATCTGTCCAGCGCGGAATTGATTGAGTCAGGTGGTGGCGATTGGCCAATGGGCACATGTCACGCATGTCAAATACACACGTAATACACATAATCAGGTTTATATGAACTATAAAGTCATGTGGAGAAATTTTGGATTTGAGCTCTTCTACATTAAAGAAGCACTTCTACATTGCTAAAATTATGAGGACTCCGACCATGGTCCTCATAATTGAAAAAGTCCTCATAATGTGGCGTGTATTTATATGAAATGTCTTCGTAAATCACATAAACCAACACACACACACACAGCCCAAATACTCAAAAGAAATATGCAACATCAAAATACCACAATCAGAATACCACAATAATGCTAAACGTTACTTTTAAAGCTTTTTAGTACGTTTTTATGCATATATGCTACTTTAAGAGCAAGAAATGAAATACTTATCATCCGGTTACATCCTTACAATCGATGGCATTAACAACAACACGGCATATATGATGGTATTTACAAACAACAAAATGCTACAAAATCAATCACGGGAAATATTACCATGTTCATCCACTGTTGCCGTTGCAGTTGTCGTTGTATACGTCGTTCTCGTTGCTCTGCTGCTCTTTTGCGCCTTGCAGCCAAAATCTGTGTTCGAAGTAAATGCCGCCGAACTCGAATGTCCTTTTCCAGGGATCCCTGTCTGGCCTTACACCAACAGACCACAAACAGTAAAAAAGCAATCGCTTCGGTGTTCTCCATCTTCCAGCTCTCGTAGTGATGCCAGGTTGTGTTTGTGGTTATGATTTGAGTTTTTTGTTCCCGTTTTTTGTTCCCGCTGAAGTGGGCGGGTTGTGTGACGGGTTGTGTGACGTTTGATTCGGGGGACGTTCTGGGGGCGGTGTTTGCGTGACTCGCTGCGAGCAACTAGCCCGACAGTGGAAACGCGACATGATTTCGGCCTCATTTCTCAACCTCCCGGGCTATTGGCCCGGCCTGGCCCGATTAAAGCCCTGGCTCGCACTGGCCCGATAGTGGAAATGCGGCTATTCTGTCCAGCGTTACAAGATGAAATCAGGATTAAGCAGAAGATTGTCACAGGTAGTGAAGGTATTACTGTAAACGGTGTCTAACTCTTCAAAGGGCTTTCATCAGCTTGGCTAGCTCAGTTGGTAGAGCATGAGACTCTTAATCTCAGGGTCGTGGGTTCGAGCCCCATGTTGGGCGTTTCTGTTGCCTCTCTCAGCAAACTTTCATTAGGGTTCATATAGCAGACCTTTTGAAACAAAGTTCCCCCTTTTTACCACTGTAGGTGGTCTCTTACTAAGTCTCTGTGGCGCAATAGGTTAGCGCGTTTGGCTGTTAACTATAAGGCTGGTGGTTCAAGCCCACCCAGGAACGAATTCTGCATTTTGCTGCCTTGCAACTGCTAACACGTGCACTGGGCATATATCCTGGGCCACATTCTGTCCAGCGTTGTAAGATGAAATCAGGATTTAGCAGAAGATTGTCACGGGTAGGGAAGGTATAACTGTAAACGGTGTCTAACTCTTCAAATGGCTTCTCATCAGCTCAGCTAGCTCAGTCGGTAGAGCATGAGACTTATGCCTAGTTCAGACTGCGTGATTTTAGCCCCGATTTTGGCTCGCCGACAGGTTTTGAGAAATCGCCGACAAATGCCTGAAATCACAGGCAAATCGCTGCTCGTGCACGTGAGTGACAATCACACAGTATGAACAATCAAAGACGCGATCTGAGAGAATCGCAGATGAGTCGCCGATGCCTGTGAGATATTTGGCATGCTAAATATCTGGGGCTATCGGCGATTCAAATCGTGCCGTGTGAATTGAGTTTTGACTGAAAATAACATCGGCGATCGCCTACAGCCAGTGAGAGAGCAGCATTCACTAGTGTGTGTGTGTAAACCTGCTGCAGGTCAGCGGGAGGCTGGGGGAGAAGTTAAAAGCGCTCTTTTTCGGTTCATTTGGACCCACGAAATGGAGGAAAAACTAGTGGAGGCTTGACAGGACTCAGGAGCAACCGTGTCTGTTTGACATTTCATACAGAAAGAAATTAGTTTATTATCAACGTTGAGGAGAAATGGCTAATTCCCTTTAAACCCAGGTGAGCAAACATGTACATGTTCTACCCCATTAAAGGCTTTTTTCTCATTATGTAGTTAATAACAAAAGATATACTACGTGTTTTTGGCTGTGAGACGTAGTTTGGACGAAGTTGTTGGCGATTCTCCCTATAGTAAAGTCATGCAATGTAAATGTCAATGTCGCCGAACCATCTTGCAGTGTAAACAAAGCAGCGTCGAAACGCTAGCCCAGATAGTCAAGCAGTGTAAAAACATCTGTGACACGACTAGTTTGAAAATCATGCAGTCTGAACTCGGCATTAATCTCAGGGTTGTGGGTTGGATCCCCAATTTGGGCATTTCTGTTGCCTCTCTCTCAGCAAACGTTCATTAGGGTTCATATAGCAGACCTTTTGAAACAAAGTTCCGCCTTTCTACCACTGTAGGTGACATCATACTAAGTCTCTGTGGCGCAATCGGTTAGCGTGTTTGGCTGTTAACTGAAAGGTTGGTGGTTCAAGCCCACCCAGGGACGAATTCTGCATTTTGCTGCCTTGCAACTGCTAACACGTGCACTGGGCATATATCCTGGGCCACATTCTGTCCAGCGTTACAAAATGAAATCAATATTTAGCAGAAGATTGTCTAGGGTAGGGAAGGTATTACTGTAAACCGTGTCTAACTTTTGAAATGGCTCCTCATCAGCTCGGCTAGCTCAGTTGGTAGAGCATGAGGCTCTTAATCTCAGGGTCGTGGGTTCAAGCCCCACGTTGGGCGTTTCTCTTACTTTTCTCTCTCTCAGCAAACTTACATTAGGGTTCATATAGCAGACCTTTTGACACAAAGTTCCGCCTTTTACCACTGTAGGTGACTTTTCCTTAAGTCTCTGTGGCGCAATAGGTTAGCGCGTTGGGCTGTTAGCTGAAAGGTTGGTGGTTCAAGCCCACCCAGGGATAAATTCTGCATTTTGCTGCCTTGCAACTGCTAACACGTGCACTGGGCATATATCCTGGGCCACATTCTGTCCAGTGTTACAAGATGAAATCAGGATTTAGCAGAAGATTGTCACGGGTAGGGAAGGTATAACTGTAAACTGTGTCTAACTTTTGGAAGGGCTCCTCCTGAGCTCGGCTAGCTCAGTCGGTAGAGCATGAGACTCTTGATCGTGGGTTCGAGCCCCACGTTGGGCGTTTTTTGTTACTTTTCTCTCTCTCTCTCTCAGCAAACTTACATTAGGGTTCATATAGAAGACCTTTTGAGACACAGTTCCGGCTTTCTACCACTGTAGGTGACTTTTCACTAAGTCTTTGTAGCGCAATCGGTAAGCGCTTTTGGCTGTTAACTGAAAGGTTGGTGGTTCAAGCCCACCCAGGAACAAATTAGGCACTTTACTACCATGCAATTGCTAACACGTGCACTGGACATAGATCCTGGGCCACATTCTGTCCAGCGTTACAAGATGAAATCAGGATTTAGCAGACCTTTTGAGACAAAGTTCTGCCTTTCTACCACTGTATGTGACTTTTCACTAAGGCTCTGTGGCGCTA